TCTTTTTTTCTTTTTTTTTTTTTTTTTTTGTGGGGGTGGGGGTTCGTAAGCCCCACCCTCCACGGAGTATCACAAAGACAATGCTAAAAACAAGTGGATTTCCAACTTGCAGCACCAAGGATACCCGGATGATATACTCTAGCAGAAGTATTTAAAGATTAATAATTCCTCCAGATTGGCCCATGAGCCACCGCTTTCTGGGCTTACGACTCTAGGCAAAAGTATACAGGATATTAAGTATTTGAAATTCTGAGATCAAATAATTTCGCCAAGACTTAAAGAAATCATGTTATCAGTTTTAAAAAAATGTTGTGCAACAGTATACAGTTGTAGCACATGGCTTGGCGTGACCAGCCGATTGATAGAACCGGGCCAGTTCTACCGCCCGTCTAGGTGAAATAAGGGGCGAAGTGGTGTGTTGGGCAAAGGAACGCTGTTCCTGGAACCAGTGCCCTCAACCACCAGACTCCCTTCCTCCACCGACACAGGGGCGCAACCCACGGCAAACGGGTTGGTGGACCATATATACCCCCGGGAAGAGCGCTTAGCGTTACCCAGCACCCACCACGAGGAAATAGCTTTTCACGGGTGCCAGGTTGCTAGTTCCCACATTGAAATGACCCTCTGTTGAAAGAAGTATGTAATGACCCACAACTTACCTAAACTTCCAAACAGGTGTAGGTCTTCTTTCGCTGAAGTGTGCCTGATCACTGATATAACTTCTTTGTCACCCTGTCAAAAGCCACCTACATATTTTCCTGTGTAATTATTCAAAACACGTGTATACCTTGGCGTCGTCAAGTGACACTACAAAGACTCCAGTTCTCGCAATGGAAAATGCGTGTGGGGAACACTGATATACTGTTTGAATTTAAACTGAACTTAAATATGAAGCATACAACTTAATGGATGACAACTTTAGATTTATTTCATAGATCTCTCTATTGGCTCTATGCAATAAATATGAAGTTGTCATCCATAACGTTGTATGTTTCATATTTGAGTCACCAACTTCCAGAATGTCGATCAAACAATTGAACTTAACTGGACGCTCAATCTGCTAACAACTTGACACTTGCTGAAGATGTATCTATATCGAATTTGTAATGTTTTATAGGGTCATTACTATCTAGACAATAAGACATTTAAATAAAAAGATTGATGCTAAAATGCAGATAATGAAATATGTATGATTCCATGATTTGGCAATGATGTATTCTCTTTCATTAAAATCGGAAAGACCTACGGATAGGGGAATATTACCATCCACAGACATCAGTCATGATCATTTACGATAAATCATTTGATAAATAATGTGAAAGTGTCAATGTTCTAATGGATGGCTATGTCTATTTTATTTGTAGTTACAAGGCATTATCTGCACTCCCTATAAAAACAAAGGTGACAACACAGATCCTGAGACCTACAGCGGCATCAACCTTTGTTCGGAAATCTACACTACACTCGTCTGTACGAATCCTGGAATGTCCACTCTATCATTACTGTGACACAAGCTTGATTTTGGCAAACTCTCATCTCAAGTCGTGAGAGTTAATGGTTCCCTTGAAAAATTGGGGTGAGACAGGAAGTACACCTCTCGACATAGCTATTTCGCGTATTTGTGATAGACCAAGAGGTTTACCTGAAATGTTGTGAAGGACTGAATGAATTCTGTATGTTACCTTGTGATGGATATAGACATTCAAAGCGTTGTGCAACATTATATGCTACTGATACAATGCTTTAAGTTAGAAAGACAATAAGTAAGAAAGACAATAAGTAAGAAAGATTTCCTGATAATTTTGCATCTGTCTGTAGGATATGAAACTTAAGAGTTGATTTATCATAGACATAACTATTGGCATTTTGCTGAATAATCTATCCTGCAAATTTAAATACAGGTTTTCCTTTCCAAGGAGTTATTTGATTGTCTGTTTTGTTTACAGGCCTCTGTCGTGTGGAGCAATAGTCCTTAACTCGGGCTGAATTCAACAAGAACATCTCTGATGCTGACAGTGTCAAAGATAACAATAGTAATCTTCCTGATGGTGAAAGTGTCAGAGTTCCTAGTTGACAAGAGACCTGGGTAGGAATTGTTTTAACCCCCTATAGCCGATGTAAAACATCTGTAAAGGGCTTGGTATGTATTCCTTAATTTAGGCATGTGTTATTTGTGATATTACGTACATACTGATTACTCAAAAAATAATTTCGTTTACGAATTACTGTACTGACTATTGAGGTCGATCAGTGCACTCTTCATAAATGAATGTGCTCTTAAAATAACTTGTGACTTGTTTACTGCACTCGTAAAATGACAACCGCCAAAGAAATCTAGACAGGTATACCTACATTCTGTGAGGCAGCATGCCTTGATTTGTTTCATTAATGCAAAACAAGAGAGCAGAAGCGTACATTTGATCAGTGGTAAAAGGAGTACGGGGTGAGCATTTGCTAAATGTGGTTTTAATGATATTGAAAACGTACCAAATCTGTTTTAGTTTTTCGCATATTTTGTGCTGAAGAAATACTTAGTCCCTTGCCACTTATGACATCTGTAATTCCATAAACAATTAAACTGTACTCAAAGTCAAAGGTTATTGCGGCACAAACCAACCAACCCCCTTCCCCCCCCCAATAAATAAATAAATAAATAAATAAATAAATAAATCAGTGTTAAACATTTATTGCAGTCATTAAAATGTTATCACACTGAAAGAAAAAAGTGTCAAGGTATGGTAACGATCTACAGTCGATAAGAACATTGCGACTGAACCTAGTTTTAAATTCATAAAAAATACATATAATATATACTAGGCACATAAAGAAACTGTGCATACAAAAATTTAAAATCGAAATTTATCAAACCAGTTAAGACACATAAGGATTTAAACTCAGAGATTAGTGACATGTATCCAACATGCATGCACGTGCCACGTTCCGTGACGGCAGTGGGTTCGTCCTTGAGACGTGCATACGTTGTTGCACGTGCATCCCGGGAAAGAGAAACAGAGCAAATGAATGCCACACAATACTGTCACTTTGGAAAGCTCAAACCTTGCGATCGTTCAAAAAATTAAACGGCTATTAAAACGCATAGCATGCCAAGGCTCACGTCTGCACAACTTCATGAGGCCACTGGGATGGTCCGTGGGGGAATGTCTCAACGACAAGTGGCTGCACATTTCCACTGCCACCGGAACACCATTTCTGCACTGGTGAGACGCTACCAGAACACAAATGACGTCATCGATCGGCCACGTTGTGGACGTACACGTGTAACAACGCCAAGACAGGACAGATGGATAAGGGTAACGTTGCGCCACAGGTTTCAGACTGCAGTGATGACTGCCCGAACCATCCCAGGACTTCGCCGTATCCACCCCAACACAGTTCGACAACGTTTCCGTCATCACGGGATCAGACCACGACGTCCCGCCATACGGCCTATCCTGACACAATGTCATCGGCAAGCTCGCCGAATGTGGTGCCCAAATCATGTCCGCAGACCCTTGTTTTGGTGGAGAAATGTTGTTTTTACAGATGAGTCCAGGTTTAACATTTCCCATAGTGATGGACGTCAACGTGCCCATAGACGCGTGGTTTGGCCTGCAAACTCACCGGATCTCTCCCCGATAGAGCATGTTTGGGACGAGATGGGTCGACGTCTACGCCGTCTTCCTCATCCGCCAGATAACGTCCTTGACCTTGCAACAGAACTTGAGAGAATCTGGCGTGACATCCCACAAGCCTTCCTTGCACGTTTGTTCGGCGCTGCTGTTCTCAATGCCGATGGTGGACATACCCGTTATTGAGTTTGTGACATGGTCGTTTGACCCCTGTCCCGCTTGTGGACTCGTGACGTCATTGTGATTGAGTTTTCAATTGAAATTCTCCCGACTTGTTATGGTCTCATGATCCCTCCATTAAAGTTAATATGTACCTTTGACATTGTTATCGTACTTACCAACTGGGATTATATTTTGACATGCACAGTTTCTTTATGTGGCTAGAATATAAAACCCTGTCAACGAAAGACAGTAAAATTACTAGGTTATCAAATATTTGTTAAAACTAGCATGAGAAGAATTGACATAAAACACAAACAATTAATGACACGATATAGAAACTGGCAAGATATTGCTAGCAACGGAAGTTAGGCCACCAAACTAGAGACAAAGGTCTCTTATTGACCCTCGAACGGTACGGAGTAAGTGAGAAATAATGCACACAGATTTCCTAGAAATGTTCAAAACATGTTGCCACTTCGAGATGTTGAGAACCTGGCATTTGTTATATGTGTCATAACGTGCTTCGATAATCAAAAATAAACCTCTGTTCGTTTGGGGGGCGGTGGGGTAGCCTAATAGTTAAAGCGTCCGCTCGTCACGCTGAAGACCCGGTGAAGCCCAATTCTGGTGTCCCCGCTTTATATTGCAGGAATATTGCTAAAAGCGGCGTAAAACCATACTCACTCACTGTTCTTTTGGGGATGTACTAACGTCCCAAGTACCTACTTAACACTTAAACACATTTTCACAGATTATATAAGTTGCTCTTTTCTTATAAAACGACCACTGACAATTCAGTATGACAGGAGATATTGGAGTGAGTGAGTTAACATTTATTGTCACATCTGCAATATTTCAGCCATATCGTGACGGGAACAATTTATTGTTATATTATAGATCAATACAATTAGAAATTAAAAGTCTGTACTCGAACAACAGTAAAACTACTAGTATATCACAGATATTCAAGTAAAAACTAGCATGCTATCATAAAATGCCATTATTAAGTAGAACAATACAATATAAAAATGGGCTATAGGTTGCCAACAACTGAAGGTAGATCACAGGAGATATTGGAGAAAATTACAAGGTGGTTTATATGTAATGTAATGTGATGTAATAAATTTTCATTGACTGGGATGATAAACAGTGTAATATGAATCTGATTATTGTTTAACATCAGCAGTCGTGTAGCTTTCGCGTCTATTCTCTCCCAGACATGATGGTTCTACATTTTACTCAGTAAAATGAAGATAGGTGTTTCGTTATCTTGCAAATCGTTCTCATCATTGATGAAATGTCACACAAGTATCTCCTTCATTTAATCATGCATAAATTTTTTATAATATTTGTACTGTAAACTGATCAATATGTTTATTATTGTGTACTCGACAATACATGTACTTATCCCTGCCCGTATCCCCCTAAATTTTAACGATGAGGAAATATATAGTAATATGACTTGACTAAATTGTAATATAAGGGGGAAGTATCCATACGTAACAGAGAGAGATCACACAACAATTTACAGTTAAACTCCAACAGACTAAACACATTTACATTAGGTACAATGATAAGAACCTAGTATCATTTAGAATGTTTAAAAAGTCTTACTTCCTGGTAAAATGTCCCCGCAAGATCCACTGAATATTAGTGAGTGAGTGAGTGAGTTAAAATTTAACGTCACATCGGCAATATTGCAGCCATATCGTGACGAGGATTTGAATAATATATAAAGTCGTAATAACTAAAGTCAAATTATAAAACCCTGTCAAAGAAGGACAGTAAAATAACTAGTGGATCACAGACATATATATATAGACATACTAGGGACCATGGGGACTTACGGTACATTTGCTTCCTGCATGGGCCCTAGTTGGATTTACACCATCCCTTCAGCTGTCAGCAAGTTTAGACAATTTAGCCATAAATCAAAATATCACATATTCTACGGTTAGAAATAATGGTATGTTTAAATGAACTTTGAATGTTTTGGGACTTACGTACCCCCACAGGAGGACAATAATTTTCCACTGAATATTAACAGAAATACATCCAATCCATCATACGAAATGAAGAGCACAAAATACTTCATACAATGCCGACATGACATACCCACTTTCATCTTTATATAATATATAGAAAGCATGAATTTTTCAGATAGATATATTTGATATTTCCTTCATGGAAGATTTAGATATAAGTAGACATATAACACGCATTCTACATCTGCATAACGAAATATATCCCATTGTGATCATGTGTAAAATAACGAGTGTCACAAACAGCTGGCATGATGACAGTAGATGAAGTAAAAATGAATCAGAATTCATTTTTGTGTTTTGAAATAGGTGGAAAGTGTGGTCATCACATGAAGTATTTCCGTGTATTCATAACGGAATGAATGCATTTTATGTGCATAGTTTCATACAAGTCTGAAATTAGAAATCGAAACAGCCATGCCTCAACTGTTTGAACAGGGTTTGAAAGGTATGCAAATGAGGGTATTATTTACACATATTCCAAACATATGTCATTGGGGATGTTTGTCATACAACTTATCATGCAACATGAGTTCTAGACGCTTGAAATATATTGGACATACTTTATATTTTTGACAGTATTTGTGTACAGTGTAACCTGATATGAAAGCACAGTGAATTTCTCAATACGCAAGTGGTACGCCAGGACGCAGAGAACGAGAAAAGGTGGAACTTTTGGGGTATTGAAGCTTGGGAATAATAACTTTATTTTCTGAATCTGAAAAGCCAGTGGGCATAATGCATGTAACACGTACAACAGGAGTATTGGTTTGGTTCGTGTCTTATCACATATTACTTCAAGAGAGCATGTTTGTTGTGTTTATCGGGAGTTCCGGTAACTTGCAATAACTGTCCTTAGACGGATGGATATAAACGATTTCTGCCACAACTAGTATGGATTACCTTTGTCAGGTTTTGGATGGGGTAAATGTATCTCGGGGTGGGGGTGGGGATGGGGGTGGTGTTTGTTGAATTAAGTAGTGAGCATTCGGGACCTGGGTGGGGATTTCGAAATATTTTGTTTTGGACGCTATGGCGGCATTTTCAGGTTCGACGTGCCAGGTACGAACACGCTCTTCCATGCAATTCTACTTTGTGAATTGTACGGAGCGTTTATTTTTTTTCTCGTACACAATTTGCATGCTTTTGAATGAGTTTGTTGAGTTGAGTCCCATCGGTGGGACTGTGCCGTCACTGTTGGCTAATGAGTCATTCCTGGGAAGTTGAAAGCCTGCAGTCAAGTAGAAATTGATTATGATTTATCACGAGCTGAACCAAGTGTTGCCATTGACTGATCTCGACCTTCCTCGAGCAGCCGTGTCATCACTGTTTGTTGGTGGTTCATTACTGAGACGTTGGCAACGTGCAATCTGGCTGAGATCTATTTTGATTATTGAAATGTTTTGTCGTTTTCTGTTAGCTGCTGAACATTATAAACATTGCCATTATAATTATAGTCATGCCAAATATGCAATGTTGCATAAACAATTTTTAGACTATGACGAACAGTGAAGTCACACTACATGATTATATTCTTGGGTGTGCACAAACCCGGTACAAAGACCTTTCATGATGAGATAGGCGGTAGGCACAGACTAGCGAGCACAAAATCATTTTAGAAAATATGATTATACTCCTTACCGAAACTATTGTGGTGGTCCTTTTCATTATGGTGCAGCTTTATCAATACAAACATTACCCTAGATTTTGTATAGCGAACTTGCAGTCAGGCAGTCGGTGAAAAGGAATGAAAGCTGCGGTTGTTTGTTGCTTTCCAACTACAAGAGACGCAAGAAAACGACATGCTGACACCATAGCGAATGATACATTGGCACCCCAATTTATGTAGTAAAATAAACTCATACAGTGTACCAACAGTGAGTCTTTCAAATGACTGCTCCTTTAATGTGAGGTATCGATGGTTCACATTCAGCCTCCAGTACGTGGTCAACGTTTCATGCTACCCCAGCCAGTGTTTGCATCATTATGGTCAACCAAATAGACACTGGCATTTTTCAAGCAGCCGTCTTAAAACGCTCGGGCTTATAACCATATGAACTCTAGAATCTCAGTTGAGAAAAGAGTGCCGATTTCAAACCTGTGTCATAAGTGAACAACATTTGCAATTATTTCAGACTGTATAAATGAGAAACCGACGTTATGTCATTTATGTACATATCTTAGTTAGTGAGTGAGTGATATAGAAGTAAGTCGAGCTATGAAACAGAAATGGAATCTAAACCAATCTCAGCCATCTTACATCAACTCATGGAGATATATAACATGCTTGTCACTACGAGAATGCATATTCTTTATCCGACCATAAACGCCAGGGATATGTCCAAATAAAGTGAGTGAGTGAGTCAATATTTAACGTCACATCGGCAATATCTCAACCATATCTTGACGAAAACAATTTATACAATAAAGAGTGAAAACATTTTGAAGATTAAAACCTGTCGACGTTGGACAGCATAAATACTAGATAAACATAGATATAATATAAAACTAGCGAGCAAAGCTAAAACATTCAAATTAAAGAAGACAATACAATATAAAACACGGGCTATGGATCGCCAAGAACTGAAGGTAGATCACCATAATAGGAACCAGGGGGACTAACATTACTTTTGCTACCTGCATGGAGCCTAGCTGGATTTACACCATCCCTTCAGCCGCTGGCAATTGTAGGATATTTTAGCCGAAATTTAAAAGAAAAAAAAATACTACGTTTAAAAACTTGGTACCTGAAAATTTTACTTTGAAAGTTTTTGGGACTTACGTACCCTCTCAGGAGGACAATAATTTTACACTACTTCAACCCCCTTTGAGGATACAGCCACTAACAATCTAAGTTGATAAAATGAACCACCAATTATAAAACTTTATCATTTTACAAAGCATATATCAAAATTCATTTAACAAATCTATCTCTTTTATAAAATCAACGATTAAATGATAATTAACATTATTGAAAAGCTTCCAGCATTCTTTACATACGTTTGTCAAGGTTGAAAAAGATAAATAACATGCACCCTTTGTAATATCCAAAATCCATAAGATCTAATCCCTGTTATAACGCGTATACTATTGACTCGAAGTGCATTAGGACACAAGCTACCTTCTTGTCTCGATCAGTGGCGTCAGCGAAGCGAATCGCTTCACTGCAGCCATTAAGTGTCAGTCATAAACACAATGTTGGCGTCTGTGCTCCTTTGATGTTCACTCGCAAACCACATAAGTACATGTGCGAACATGCCAAATGCATTGACGATATTTCGTATCATTGTGCAAGCTGAGGTGAAACATGGTAGTTACCGTAGCGTTCAAGATTATCGGCCTCACAAGCCACGTGTTTTCACGTGTGTGAGTTTCGGTGACGTGCTGCTCGTACTCGTCCGGACTTATGTCGGACTTTTAATGCTCGCCTACTGAGATACTGTAAACAAGTACGGTGTCGGAACCAACGATCACTGCTCTCCAAGAAGACCCTATTTCCACAAGACCGTGGAGGAGGTCCTTCATTGTAGGAGTGAGTCAGTTTAGTTTTACCCCATACTCAGCAATATAGGAGGCGGTCTGTAAATAATCGGGTCTGGACCACATAATCCAGTGATCAACAGTATGGGCATCGATTTCCGCAATTGGGATGCGATGACATGTGACAAACATGTCAGCGAGCCTGACCACCCGATCCCGTTAGTTCATTATAGGAACTTACAAAGGCAGTTTTAGCATTGCTGAAAGATTTTGCATAACATCAGATGTAATTATTATTATTATGACAATATTATATTGTGTCTATATGTTTAGTTGACAATATAAGGGAAAGGAATGTCGCGGGCTCAGGCCTTAGCCTTGACAAGCAGACAAAACATAGTCTCGTTTGTGTAGAGCACCTTGTTTATTGCCTGTGAATATGGAATCATATAACATTAGTAAGATGTTGTGTCAGCTTATTAACAGTAACGAACAAACATGGCTAAAATCACTCATTTCCAAACCCATCAATAAAACACCTAAATTCACCCACTCAGACAGATGCATCACTAGAATCAGACAAACACTCCTCAATCACAGCCTTTATAAACAAAACAGACACTGCAATATACAAGACCTCCCTCGTTAACAAATGTTAGATCTTCTCACAAAATCAACACCAGTTTTTACCGTCAGGATCGGGATCGAAATGCACAGCGCGTACTGTTTTCTACGACGTCCGCTCGCAAAAGCACAGAGCTAACCAGCCACACATCCATCTGTAAACTCTTTTATCCATACAGACAAGCATTGCTACGGCCATCCACTCAACCCACGCTCCACTGCCCACAACAAACACACACACATACGCACGCCTCTCTACTCCGCCTCCCTTTGCCCCTAGTATGTCAGCCGTCCAACCTTTTTAATGTTAGTTAGAAGGTTAAATCCGTTTTCTTATTCAGTAGGCCCATTTATACCTATTGGCAACAGCTTAACTGCCCCTTACACATATAAGACCAGATCATGCTAATTACCTGTTTGTTCAAGAACACACTAAACTACTTTTAATTCACCTGATGAAGGAGTAAGAATATACTCTGAAACGTCGTGATGCTAAAATAAAGATGTTGACATCCACAAGTTCCTGCTTTAGAAAAGCATCTTCTTTTCTTTTGAATAAACGAAATTTCGTCATAGAACAACCAGAACAACAAAGATATGTCGCTCGTTCCTAAAGAAGAAACAAATACGTATGCAACTGACAACTTACCTAAACCCCCAAACAGGTACAGGTTTTCCTCCCCTGTAATGTGCTTGCTCACTGATATCAGTTCTTTGTCACAATGACATAACAACCTGTTCTGTAATTTAAGAAGCCGCCCACATATATACCTGTTTCGGTGGCGTCACGCACGGTTATTCAAGACCTTGAATACCTTGACATCGTCAAGTGGTTGGCTGTAAAGGTCCCACTTGCTCTCGAAGAACACTGATAAACTGTTTCGAATTTGTAAAATTTACTCGGGTCGTTGCTTACTATAATATGACACATTCAGATAAATAGAAAGATGCTCAAATGCAGATAATCAAATAATATGTCACGATATGACAATAGTGTATTCTTGAAAATTAATTTTGTAAGGAGTGAGTGAGTTTAGGTTTACGACGCTTTTAGCAATATTCCAGCAGTATCACGGCGCGGGACACCAGAGGACCTGCTGAAAGCTACCATCTACAGAAAACTTCAATGAGATTTTGCAAATTGATTGAATGCATGGAAAATACTTTAATGCAAAGAGAGCTTGGATTGTCAATATAATCATTTGATAAACCTGAAAACATCAAATACATTTGTTATGTAAAAGTTTCTATTGTCTAATGGATGTCCACGTGATGAGGCATTATCTGCATTCTCTATAAAAACAAAGGTGACAATACAGATCCTGAGAATTATAGCGGAATCAGCCTCATCATCTGTGTTAAGGAACCTTTCACATCTACACTACACTCGTAGTGTGGAATTCTGAAATGTGCACTCTATTATAACTGTGGAACAAGCTTGATTTTGAGGTGGTTATTCCACAACGGACCATACCTTCACAGTAAGTGAATAATTATTATATATAAAAATGACAATCCCTCAAATCTTATGATATTTTAATCAAATAAAAAAAATCAATTAGAAATACTAACTATTCACCAGCATTCCAATTAATCCAATTCCAAACGTAAGCTGTCTGATCAAGTTAACAGAGAGTCCTTTTTCTAAACAAAGTTCTGTAATCAGTGGACTATTTAAGCGTTTAACTATTGGTTCTACAAGGTCTGCTCAAATATTCGAGAAAGGTAAACCTGCTGATCTTCGTGCAGAAGAAGCCATGCTCCATTCGATGACGCATGGCATCCATGCATGAAATGCAGTTGAATATGAGAGAGCTTGAGCCTGACATTGAGATCACACGTGCAAAAGAACAGATATTCACTAATGCTGAGCCAAAGGTAAAGATGCCAGGTACAAATCACGGTGAGATAGATCAGATCTGTCCGTTCACATGAGAAAGTACACCTCATATGAGTGATGAACAGATCCATTTCAATCCTGTAAATTACTGCACTGACCAGCCATCCCGGCAAATGATGAAACCTACTGGAACTTCAATCATCTACATTACAATACCGGTCCCTCCTCGAAGCCAAGGTGAAATCCTGGTGCAAATGATTTTGTGGCAATAATTAGAAATATTTCAAAGAACTTTGTTCAAATTCATGAATGTGTATTTGATAACAAACCTAATTTTCATAGAAACTCAAAGGAAGATGGCCTATGCCACGCTATTACCGCAACCGGAAGTGCCAAAGGTCCAAGGTGACCCAAAAGAAATTCCTTGATGGCATACGGTGCTCGAATTGTTCCACACACACACAGACCGATGCTGATAAGCTTTACTACCAGATCAACAGCTGCAAGGCGAGGCGCAGGATCGTGTTTTTGGATATCTCCACATGATTCCAAATACTGGTTACAACATGGCAAGAGACTTACTGATAAAAGGAAACGGTCACCTATACAAAGTGTTGAACCCGTGAAGATCCGTGTACGAACTGCTTTTGAGCAGCCCATGTTTGTCATTAGAGGCGACTAACGGGATAGGATGGTGATTAGTCGGTTGACACATGTCATCGTATCCCATTTGTGTAAATCGATGCTCATGCTGATGATCACTGTATAGTCTGGAGCAGACTCGATTATTTAACGAACACCCTCATATAGCTGGAATGTGGCTGAGTACCGCGTTAAACAAAAATTGGATTTTGCTGATAGGCAGCAGCTATTCACTTTCGTCGTTCCATTTTAAGGTGAAGCGCCTTTTGGCGTAGTTTACAGGCATGGTTGGACAATTAAGGGCCCAAATCACCTTAAACACAATCTTACATACAATAGTTTAGTATGCAATAGAATTGTTCTAAGAGAAGTGGCAAACACAAAAGAAAGCGTTTGCTCCTGAAGCAGTTTTGAAATTGTTTGAGTTTGACTTCAATGAGAATGAACTTAGATGTGTGAGTGAGTTAAAAGTCACATCGGCAGTACTAGTATTTTAGTCATATCGTGAATATGAGAGTTGTATATTAAACTTATCTTAAGACAATGTAAATATCCGTTTACAGTAAAATGACTAGACATTCACAGATGTATAATTCATAGTGGCATGTTATCATAAAAGTTCTATACATAAAAACACAATATAAAAATGGGCTAAAGATCGCCAGCACCTGGAGGTTGATCACTAGGACTATGACGGGTCCAAATTTCCTACCCCGGTACCCGACCCCCTATTGCCCGACCCGTCCCGGGTACCCCTTTTAGGTTGGTTGGTTTTATGGTTTTAGGGCGACGTGGGCCAATAACCGGCGTATTTGCACCCAACACATTGACTTGATTTAATAACATATAATAGTTATTTCATCGCCAAAAGGAATCCTTAAGTTAACATACAAGAACCGACAACATTATCAATATTCATTTGGATAGAGGTATACATATATCGAATAACCTCTGCTTCGGGTTTCGGAATTATAACTTTAAGTAATCACTTCCATTTCTGAAACATGAAATATTTATTCATTAAAAAAGCATTAGGTTAAGATGACAGAGCGTTAAAATGATTACTAAATATGTGTAAGCCACTTAAGAGCCTGTCTAGATTACATGAAATTTTCCAGATGACGAGACAAAATCTAAAACTGCCCCTTGCACGAATCCGTACATGATATTGGGGCCCAAAACTGTTTCTAAAGAAAATATTTCATCAACCTCAAGTACAGCACTTCTGAGATTGTGTCTTATTTGGGTACCGTTATAACACTAATTACGAGTTATTCCCTTCAATAAAATCAGTTCAAGGTAAATACCTCTCTCCCTCACCCGTGGACTCATAATCCAATCACAATAGTCAGACAGACGGACAGATTGCTTATTTACTTCTCACCATATGTACATTAAAATAAATACTAATGCATACAAGAATATACAGTAAATATTATAAATGGAGTTTTGAGAGACGGTTGATAATTAAATATCACCGAGCAATATACTGGAAGCGTATGAGCAGATAAAATGACAATTGAACTTAAAAAATATATACAAAAATATTAACATGAAATATTAAACTTATTTATATAAAATTTGGCGGCGTCTTAAAAGGGTTTTAAAGCAGTTTTTGGCACGTACATTTTTAAGATCTTCAGAGCTTAAAAGGAGTGATGACTTTTCAGGTTCCGATAAGAGGGTAAAACGTAGCATGAAACACTTTGCTGATGTTAAAAGGTCTTCTCTTAAATCGTCGTAAAGTGGACATTTCAATAAAATGCTGTTCCGATTCAACTCGATTTGGGTGGTGAAAACATCTTCTATCTGTAAGTTCGATTCCTTCATTACGGGCGGTTTCTATACGCGGAGGCGCTGTACCCGTCCTTGGCACGTGTGTGAGACGTTGAGGTGTTAAAACATAGGCCTCTGTTATATCGAATATTGATTTATGGTTCTGTAGCCGCTCGAGTCTATGCGAGGATTACATATTTTTCATAAAAATATAAAATATTGACATGACCCCCGACTCGAAATGTTTCACAATACAATACATCATGTATTGTACTGTGAAGCATTTCGAGTCGGGGGTCATCTCAAAAACAATATTTCTTAAATCTTTAATCTTTGCAAAAACAAGAGGACCTGTGTTCTGTAGTGCCAGAGTTTGTTTTTCCCCCATCCCCGTTTTGCGTTCTCCAGGTGTGATGAATTTTCCCTTGTTTTTATGAAAGCTTGTAACGATAGTTCTTCAGAGTCTCTTACAGTGATGATGTTGTTTAAAAGAGTTTCTTTGGTGATTCCCAAATGTTTTCGCTTGTGTCTGTTCCGTGTTTGATTATTTTCCCAATTAAAAGCATAGGGCTCTATACGTTCTTGGTCCATAATCATCATTCCCCTCCATTAACGAATCAAGCATATATCCTGTCGTGCACTTAGTTGCAGAGTTCCATCCATCCATCCCAACTTCTTCATTAGCCTCGACTTCAATAGCCTTGACCTAGGTAAAATCTCATAGCACGGTTTTGCATTACGTTGTTTGATGAATAGTCCTCTGTTCCATAGATTGAAATGACTTAAGTTATATCTGGCCAAAGTAATGCATCGTACAGTTTGGTAGATGTTTTGAAACCGAGTTACCTAATCGGTAACAATAGGTCTACCTTCGCGGTTTGTTCAGACTCTATTTGAGGCGACGTCTGCGTTCTTGAGTGTTTTACATGTAAACAAATAACTACTTGGCGTACTTGCAACCTATGTTACACGTGACATGCTTAGTTGTCGACAGCTGATACCTTTTGCTAGTTTAGTCCACAATCTCAAACATAAAAACAACTATCTCGTTGTAAATATGTATAATAATTATAACACATTCAATTAAGTCTTCATTTATTAGTCATGTGATCAAAGCGGGTTCGGGCAACCTGACGGGTACCCGGATCCAGCTCATTACCCACCCGTCCCGGGTACCCGGGTTACCCGTCACAGCCCTATTGATCACCATTCTAAAGATCATACAGTGCTTTTGCTACCTGTATCGTCCCAATGCTGGATTTACACCATTCCTTCAGATGTTAGCGGGCCTTGTGGTTAAAACCTTGGCTTGTTCCGGGTTCGATCATGGTACATGGGTACAATGTGTGGAACCTGTTCCTAGTTTCCCCTGCCATGATACTGCTTTAATATTGCTAAAAGCGGCGTAAAACCATATTCACTCACTCTGATGATGACGATTTGGACAGATGTAGCCTTAAAGGAACATATATTCTACGTGGTCTTAGTACTCTTTCAGGGGGACATTAACTTTACACAACTTTTGATGGTACAGCCACTAACAATCTCAGTTACCATATATATTCTACTAATCATAAAAGACATTTATCATATACAAAACATATTGATCAAAATTTGTGAAACAACACAATTACCTATAAAAAACAATGATTAAATGAGAATGTATTCTAACATGATCCTTCGTGGTTGAAAAAGTTATCCACAGAGTCAATCTGGACATGCTTGACTTTAATTCTGTCATCACGCTTTAATACATATCCATGAGGGTATGCGAATTGCCAATACGGCACCGTCTTATAGAGACTCGAATCTGGACTGACAACCCAAGTATGTTGGCTTAATGTAAGTTATGTATACCTACTTGATTGTCAACTTCATTTGAGTTAGATCACGAATGTAAGCTCTAATCGAGGGTTTTTAATCAGTGTGTAGGATGAAAAGTGGTGTCAAAGATGTTGTTGAGTGCTGCATTGTGTTCGAGAATTCCAACATGACTGGGTAACCAACAACAAAAACGATGTCGTATTGGCCAGGACCCCGTACCTCAAAGCGATCGTAGCGCCACGACAGTCGTAAGTCTATGCTAAAGTATGGGAGCGCTACGATCGTGTTGAGGAACGAGGCCCTGGACAAGAACATTTAATTAACGTACGGTTGCGCTGGATACTGTGTTACCATTCTTGGATCCATCTGTACAAATAGCTTTGTAAGTAACGTGTATTTTTATAGTTTAGTTAACGTTAAATCCAAGTCTGGCTTTACTATCTGCCATGGTGGTGAAGACAAACGTCGGGTGGGGGCTATATTTTCAAGATGTACTAGTATTTTAGCAGCAGAAATGTCAGACTGTATTCGTATTCTGAGTGGCGGAATGAGAGAGGTATTATTACACTAAAACTCTTTATAAAGGGGATTAAACATACAGCCATATGCCGGATTACATCCGTTCTACCAAAAGCAGTATGGACTCCAGCAACAACAACTTTTGCCCAGCAAGCCGAGAAACTGTGTCAGATGATTTACAAACTACATTTTATCTGTGGTGGAATGTAGCTACAAACCTATTCGACAGAATGGTTTTACCAATTCGGACATACGGAGCTGGGGTTTTCAACATGTTCAGCGCACAGAAAAAGTTTAACTGAACTATTTCAAGAAAACTATTCATGTACCTAAAAGTGCATGCCGTGCTGCCGTTCTTGGAGACTGTGGAAGAAATACTGTTTTCATCACACCTGTAATGAAGTTACTTACATACTGGACCAAACTTCTTTCGATGGACAATCGCCGACTTCAAAAGTCAATGTCAAGTTTCGTTGTTGTTTTTTGAAGAGTATGAATTTATTATTATGTTACAGATTAAAGATGAAAATGCAGCAGAGAGGGTTCGGGTGATGCTGGCACAGACAGGCTGGTAAGGCTCATCATCAGCTCAGGGCCCTCGCCCCCTCTACACACAGCCCAGACAACGAATTGGACTTTTCTGGTAGGAAACACAGCCTAGTCGAGCCCACCAAGAAATTTCCGGAGAATATGTAGACTCCCGAACACTGCAGCCAGCTGCATTACCCAGAGTGTCAGAAGGGCTGTGCTCCCAAGGGCACCGAAAACAATGGGGAGCCTGACGACAGTGTACTTGGGATGCAAGCGAGACATTTCAAAGGCGAGGTCCGCATATTTATCATGCTTTTCTTGAATCTTACCAATCACATTGCTGTCAAAAGGGACAGAAAATTCAATGACATAAATAAATGCATTGGCTTTATGAAAAAGGACAAGATCAGGTTTGTCGGCAGGAATTTCTATTATTGTTATTATTGCTTACATGAGCAATGGGAAGTTGTCTGTATATATGTATAGAAAGCGTGAATTGTTCCGATAAATATGTTATTTATTCACTTCATGGAAGATTTATATATCAATAAATATATAACTCGCATTCTACATCTACATACCGAAATATATCGCATACTGATCATGTGTAATATAACGAATGTAACAAACAGCTGGCATTTGGGACAGTAGGTGCCTTCAACATGAATCAGAATAGTGCACTGTCGTGCATTTGAAATATTGGAAAGTGTGGTCATAACATGAAGTATTTCCATGCATTCATAACGGAATGAATGCATTTTATGCGTATAGTTTCATACAAGTCTGAAATTAGAAATAGAAACGGCCATGCCTCAACGGTTTGAGCAGGGTTTGAAAGTGACACAAATGACGGTATTGTTCCAAACATATGGCGTTGGGGATGTTTGTCTGTCATACAACGGTGTGTGTGTGTGCGCGCGCGCGTTCGTGCGGCGAGTGTGTGTGTGTGTGGTTCTTTGTATCAGTTGTGAGCATTCGGTACCTGAGTGGGGATTTCAATAGGTTTTGTTTTGGACGTTATTACGGCATTTCCAGATTTGACGTGCCAGTTACGAGCATGCTATTCCATTCCCCTTGTGAGTTGAAGCAAGTGTATTCGGTACACAATTGGCATGCCACTGACTAAGTTTACCCAGGTGGGACGAGGTGATCTCGACCTTCCTCGAGCACCCGTGTCATCACTGTTGTTGGTGATTCATCCCAGACACGTTGGCAACATGTGGCCGAGATGATTTTATTACTGTTTTGTAAATATTATAGAAACATGTTTTAATCTGTCTAGCTTCTGTCTCATCAAGTACCTGTACAGGCTATATCACTTAAGCAGTATACAGAATGTAACAATAGATTTACCTCAGCACTTATGTAACTATTAACTTTACAATAGCCACATTCAATCTAATGACAGTTGCATTGCATTGTCTGCCCTTTTCCTATAATCCTTATTATGTAAGTCGAATTGCCTACTGTCCAACTTGATTTCATAAGGCAGTTGTTAGATACAACCTTAGTCTGTCGAACAGACCCTGAAGCAAATATATCCAAGAAAGCCCACACAAGTCTAGAAAATGTCTAGATTTCCTCAGCTTCATGAAGAAAGTCTCAGGGCTCCTTTTCATTATATTACATTTTATTTTACTATGAACTTTTTTCAGTAAAATATGTTCATTTCAGAGACTAGTTGTTGAAGAAAGTCTCAGGGCTCCTTTTCATTATATTATATTTTATTTTACTATGAACTGTTTTCAGAAAAATATGTTCATTTCAGAGACTGGTTGTTAGTCTAAAACAACCTTAACAAGTCAGAGGTCCCATATTGCTCAGGTAATAGGTTTTTGTGTGGATTGAGTGGCCGAGGATTTCACTATCTCTCTCTATATAAGGTTAGTTTGTGTTTTGCTCTCATATTTATGTATGACGTCATAGCAAATGGTACACTGGTACCCTGACGAATAGATGCATATATATATACAGACACGCACACGCACACACACACACACACAGTAGTTGAAGTAGTTGAAAACGATGTGTGTGTGTGTGTGTGTGTGTGTGTGTGTGTGTGTGAGAGAGAGAGAGAGAGACACACACAGAAATGAGATGTAAACCAATCTCAGCCATCTTACATCCACTCAGATATATAACATGCTCGTCACCACGGGAATACTGGTCCTTTATCAGACCATAAACGTCAGGGATATGTCCAAATATAAGTTTCCAACAAGCTTCCAGCATTCTTTACATATGTTTGTGTAAGTTGAAAACGATAAATTCTATGCACCCTTGGTAATATCAAAATCTGTACAGATCTAGTCCCTGATAAAAAAAACGTATACTATTGACTCGAATTGCATAAGGACAGTAGCTACCTTCTTGTCTCGATCAATGGCGTCAGCCAGCAACTCGCTTCACTGCAACTATTGAGTGTCTGTACACAAAGTTAGAGACTGTGTTTCTTTGGCATTCACTACTTTGCAAGCAAGATCATTTATGTACATGTGCGAACATGCCAACTGCATTGACAATATTTTGCAAGCAAGATCATTCATGTACATGAGCGAACATGCCAACTGCATTGACAATATTTTGCAAGCAAGATCATTTATGTACATGTGCGAACATGCCAACTGCATTGACAATATTTTGCATCATTGTACGAGGTGAGGTGAAACATGGTGGTTACCGTAGTGTTCAAGATTATTGGACTCATAAGGCACGTGTTTGCGCATGTGTGAGTTTGGGTGAAGCGCTGATTGAACTCGTCCGGGCTTATGTCGGATTCTAATGCAAGCCTACGGAGATACTTAAAACAACTACCGCCTTGGAACCAACGATCATTAATCTTCCAAGGAGACCTTCTTTCCACTAGACCGTGGAGGAGGTCCATCATTGTGGGAGTGAGTGAGTGAGTTTAGTTGTACGGCGCACTGAGCAACGTGCTAGCTATATGGCGGCAGTCTGTAAATAATCGATTCTGGACCAGACAATCCAGTGATCAACAACATGAGCATCGATATACGCAATAGGGATACAATGACTTGTATCAATCAAGTCAGTGAGCCTGACCACCCGATCCCGTTAGTTCATTGTAGGAACTTACAAAGGCAGTTTTAGCATTGCTGAAAGATTTTACAATATATCAGATTATTATTATTATTATGTTTTACAGATTAAAGATAGTATGCAGCAGAGAGGGTTCGGGTGATCCTGGCACAGTCAGGCACCGCGCTATTATTATTATTAGTAGTAGTATTATTATGACAATGATCATAGTTAAAAATCTTTGTATTTCTCATTCGAAATGGACATGATTTCAGATTATATATTTTACTGTGTGTAATATGTTTAGTTGACACTATAGGGGAAAGGAACAAGTTCCCTGTATCGATTCTCAATGGAATTACTTTCGTCCTGTACACATTTGACCATTTGACCACAATACCCTTCTGATTCAAATTAACCTAGTTAAAGTTCTTCCCATCACTCGCCTTATATATTCCCTCCAGTCCACACACGTTCTAGTCAAAATATGTACCAAAATCACGAAACGACATCATCAACAATATCATCCATCAAATACACACACAACACTCAAATAACAAAAACACAACACTTCTTTGATTTCCCAGTCACACAATATATCTCCAGAAACGACACAGCAGCCAAACTCACCACAACACATACACCCAACTACTTCCAGTCAAAATTTAGAACACCAATAACCAAACACATATCAACACTAACAAATAAACATGGATAAAATCACAAACACATAAATAAAACCCATAAATTTACCCACTCAGTACAAATAGACAGATGCATCACCAGAATCATTAATGGACAAACAACCCACAATCACAACCTTTATAAACAAAAACAGACACTGCAATATACAAGATTTCCCTCATTAACAAATGTTAGATTTTCCCACAAAATATACACAAAGCAACTGCAGTATAAACACCGGTTTTTACTGCCAGGATCGGGATTGATACACAGACACGCAAGTCGATCTACCCCGCCTCCCCTTGTCCCGGGTGTGTCAGCTCGACCTTTCCGATATTAGTTAAATGGTTAAACCTGTTGACCTTAGTTGTTAGGCCCCACTATACCCATTGGCCACAGCTGAACTGTCCCTTAGACATATAATACCACATCATGATATACTACTTACTCTAAACTTCTATAACACACTGAACTACCCCCCACCCCACCCCCTTCATCTCATTCAATGCAAAACTATTTATTTAAAACTATTTATTTATACTCCCTAACTATTCAGTTGTTTTTCGTTCAATTACCTACTCATTTATTAACGTTTATTAATTAGTAACTTTTGTTATTTCTTATCTTTTTCTCTTCCAAATTCATGGTAGGTTAATGTCCCATCACTATACGTAGCCACATCTTCCTATTTGGCTACTTGGCGTCAGACTGAACATTAAATCGTTATCCTCACTTAACGTTCTAATTCACCTGATAAAGGAGTAAGAATATACTGTGAAATGCTATGTTGCTAAAAATACAGAAGTTGACATCCATAAATAAATGCATCTTCCACCTGAAGAAAAAGCCAGAACTAGCCCAGAAACGTTGTGAAAAATAAATCAACAAGTTGTTATCCATAAGATATGTCTTGTAAAGGTATCTTCATTCTTACAAAATCCCCTTCAATCTGTGATGATCTTCTATCAGTACTCTAGTTTAAATATAATTTATATTTACACATAGAAAAATATATCAAGGACTGTGTATTCCCTCCAAAGTACGAAAGGCGAAAGATAGTAAATACATCTGTACATAGCTATAAAGAACACCGATGGGTTATGCAAACCTCAATTAATACAAACATGACGCTTTATGCACGGGTTCATTGTAAGTTAAACTATCATTTTCTCTGGCAATTGGCATACTTACATCCCAATTATCAATCTGCTCTCCAAATATGTATTAAAATACAAGGTATACACGTGGTAAAATATCTAAGGTATGTAACCTATATAACAGATATACTTATGGTTATGAGTTTCATAATACTCCTACACTGTGAACAACTTAACCTTGAGAGAAACGATTTTTGTGTGTTAATGATTGACATTCTTGATGTGGAAACCTATGTTGCCTTTGAATTACAGGATGAACTCGATATGCTCTCTTGTTTATGTGGAGGTGAAACTGCTTTTCATGAAGATGTTGATCAAGGGACATGGGAAACAATTATTTTACGATTTTCTTTGTAAATTTGCCGAAGAAAGCGACATCTCCTACAATGTTACAATGATTGACTTTTGCTGATGTATTAACTTGTGTATAATGATATATGTCAATCTTCGGAAGTTGCTTGTATAAATCAATTGTATACACATGTACATATATGTCTTTATGTAAATTATTGCTTTAGGTAATCATCTTGATTAAAGTAATTGTATATACATTTATGTCAATTTTGTAGCTTTGTTCCCTTTCCTGTATTTATATAATATGTTTGATCTTCGGATGATCTTCTGGAGAAACAACGAATTTCTCTCTCCCTCTGTCGCTCGTTCACGCATTGAAATGACCCCCTGAAGAAAGACGTACGTAACTGACAACTTACCTCAGTCTCTAAACAAGCAGAGGTTTTTCTTTCCCTCCAGTGTGTCTGTTCACTGATGTTCACAGTTCTTTATCGCCCGGCACGGGGATTGACATAACAAACTGTTCTGTAATGTCAAAAGCGGTTTACATATATACCTGTGTGGCGTCACGTGACGGTTATTCAAGACACATGAATACCTTGACGTCGTCAAGCGGTTGACTCAGCAAAGGCTCCAGGTGTTCTCGCAATGTTAGAGGAAAATGTGTGTGTGCAGAACACTGGTATACTGTTTGAGTGTAGACTAAACTGTCCGTTCAAACTGCTGATAGCTTAACTCGGGTTGGAGATGTATTTATTTCGAATTTGTAATATTTACGTGGGTCGTTGCTAACGAAACAATAAGACACATTTAGATAAACAGTAAGATGACCAAATGCCGATAATAAAATTAATAATACTTCAATTATATGCCAATAATGTTTTCTTGAAAATTAATATTGTAAGGAGTGAGTTAGTTCAGTTTTACGCCGACTTTAGCAATATTCCAGCAATATCACGGCGTTGGAATCCAGAAATGGATATTGGAAGGACCTGCGGAAAGGAGAATATTACCACCAACAGACAACTTCAATGAGATTTTGCAAATTGATTGAATGCATGGAAGATAATATAATGCAAAGAGAGATTGCATTGTCGATAGAATCATTTGATAAACCTGAGAACACCAAAGCAAAACTTATGTAAACTTTTTATTTTGTAATGGACGTCTATGTGATGAGGCATTATCTGCACTCTTTATAAAATTAAAGCCAACAACACAGACCCTCAGAATCAGCCTCATCATTTGTGTTAAGGAACCGACACAACGCTCGTCTATCAGAATTCTGAAACTTGCACTCTATCATAACTGTGGCACAAGCTTGATTTTGAGATGGTTATTCCACAATGGACCGTATCTTCACAGAAAATATTCTTTTGGTTCTGTAGAAAATAGCAATCCTTGATACCTTATGATATTTTAATCAAATCAAAACACTATTTTTGTTCAAACTATTCACCAGCATTCCAATTCATCTATTCCGAGATCTGATAATGAGTTGGCTCCAACGTGTCGAACGTAAGCTGTCTGATCAAATTAACAGAGAATCTGTAATCAGTGGACCATCAAAGCATTCGGGCAATTCTAAAATAGTGTACTATTGGCTCTGCAAGGTCTGCTCAAATATTCGAGGAAGCTAAACCTGTTGATCTTCGTGCGGGATAAGCAATGCTCCATTCGATGATGCATGACATCCATGCATGAAACGTAGTTGAAATAAACTTGACATCGATTGAGATCATCCGTACAACAGATATTCACTGACGCTGAGCCGAAGGTAAAGATGCCAGGTACAAAACACAGTGAGATAAATCAGATCTGTCCTTTCACATGAGAAGGTACACCTCGTATGAGTGATGAACAGATCCATTTCAAATCTGCAAATCACTGCACTGACCAGCCATCCCGGCAAATGATGAAGCCTACTGAAACTTCAATCATCTACATCACAATACCGGTCCCTCCTCGAAGCCAAGGTTAAATCCTGGTGCAAATGATTTTGTGACAGAAATTAGAAATATTTCAAAGAAGTTTGTTCAAATTCATGAATGTGTATTTACAAACCTTATTTTCACAGCAGCGCAAAGACGGATGCCACGCTATTGTCGCAACCGGAAGTGCCAAAGGTCTAAGTAGACCCAAAAGAAATTGCTGCTTTCTTGATGGCAAACGATGCTCGAATTGTTCCACACACACAGATCGATGCTGATAAGCTTTACTACTTAGATCAAAAGCTGCAAGGCGAGGCGCAGGATCTTTCGTATCCCATTTGTGTAAATCGATGCACATGCTGATGATCACTGTATTGTCTGGTCTAGACTCGATTATTTAACCAACGCCCTCATATAGCTGATAATTGGCTGAATGCAGCGTTAAACAACTCTCGTCGTTCCATTTTAAAGTTAAGGGCCTTTTGGTGTAATTTACAGGCATGGGTGGACAATTAAGGGCCCAATTGAGCTTAAACAAAATGTTCATACAATACTTTAGCATGCAATAGAATTGTTCTCAAAGAAGTGGCAAACACAAAAGCAAGCTTTTGCTCCTGATCTAAAGATCATATAGTGCTTTTGCTACCTGCATAGTCCCAATGCTGGATTTACACCATTCCTTCAGATGTTAGCGGGACGGTGGGGTAGCTTTGTGGTTAAAACATTGGCTTGTCCCGGGTTCGATCCCCACATGGGAACAATATGTGGAGCCTGTTCCTAGTTTCCCCAGCTATGATAGTGCTTTGATATTGCTAAAAGCGGCGTAAAACCATATTAACTCACTCTGATGATGACGATTTTGACTAATGTAGCCGTGAAATAAAGGAACATATATTCTACGTTTAAAATTATGGTACGAATGAATATACTTTCAATGACGTGGTCTTAGTACTCTTTCAGGGGGACATTTATTTTACACAACTTTTGATGGTACAGCCACTAACAATCTCAGTTACCATATATATTCTACTAATCATAAAAGACATTTATCATATACAAAACATATTGATCAAAATTTGTGAAACAACACAATTTCCTTTCAAAAAAATAATTAAATGAGAATGTATACTAACATGATCCCTCGTGGTTGAAACGTTGAAAAAGGTGTCCACTGTAATAGGAATATCCACACAATCAATCTGGACATGCTTGACTGTAATTCTGTCATCACCCTTCAATACATATTCATGAGCGTATGCGAATTGCAACCGTTGCATTGAGACTCGAATCTGGACTGACAACCCAGTCCTACTTGATTGTCCACTTCGTTTGAGTAAGATCACGAATATAAGCTCTAATCGTAGGTTTTTAATCAGTGTATAGGATGAAAAGTGGTGTCAAAGATGTTGTTGAGTGCTGCATTGTGTTCCAGAATTCCAACATGACTGGGTAACCAACATCAAAACCATGTCGTATTGTAACAAAAAGAAAAAAAGATATGCACAAAGCAGCAAACGAAACTGTTCTGTCGTTTACTCTATTCAGAGGGACGAGTTAAGGTATGCAAGCAAGCATTTTAGCATCTCACGGATTATACCGTATTAGAGGACGACTAGACAATATTGTTAAAACAGTGAGTGGTTACAGTCTCGAATACACTATTGGAGCATGCTACAGAAGCTACAGAGATGTGTATTGTGTCAGCAATAACTGCCAGACTGTATCTAGTGACAAGTATCGACGTATTATCGTTGAGGACTTCAGCATTGGTTTGAAGAGTGACACGTGTAAAACATGTGATGAAATAAATGAAACATACAACTTTATGGATGACAACTTCTGGTTTATTTGAGTTGAGCGACGTTTCGATGTATATTCTTACATCGTTATCAAGCTAAAAGTGAGTACAACCAAATGGTGAGGAGCATATGTGCATGGTATGTTGTGACAAGCAGCAGATTAACATTAACGACAGCATGTAATAGAAATAACAAGTGGTACATAATTGGAAGAGGGCAGTAGGGAACTAAAACACTAAATAGCACCAGTGATGAAGCCAATAAACAGGGGGATTAAGTAGTAACAACAAATAGACAGGGTGCTATTGATGATGTATAGCTTGATCAGTTCTTCATAGGCTGATGGGATGTAGTATCATTGGTCACGGTTGATCAAAGGTTTATGGATGCGGATTTCGATGGCTTCCAACAGTTTTCTTTTTGTGAAGTCCTGATTATTGCTTGATAGGACTTCGAATTCGTCAAACTTGATTTGATGGGATGGGAACTTTTGCTGGTGATCTGAGAGGGCTGATTTGCTGTCTGTCTTAGCTGTAGAGGTTTTGTGTTCTTTTATACGGGCGTCAACGGGACGGGAGGTTTCACCTATATATGAATCACCACATTCACAGTTAATCTTGTAAATCACTCCTTTGGGGGGTTGCTTAGTGGAGGGTGGATTACGGCCATTGGCCTGGAGAATGGTCCTGAGGGTTGGAGAGCCAGAGAAGATGGTGTCGATACCTGCATGGTGCTTGAGAAGTCTGCTGATTTGGTGGGATGTCTTGCCAATATAAGGAAGGGTAATCCTAATGGTGGCGGCTTCATGCTTCGTCAGTTTGGGTTTGTCCTGGAGCGTGATGGAGATGGTCCTCTTGACTAGCTTGGTTGGATACTGGTTGAGGTTGGTGAAGACACGTTGTAGGTGGTTAAGTTCATGCTCTAGGTCATCGCTGCTGGAGCAAATCTTCTTGGTGCGCCTTGTGAGGGTTGAGATGACACCAGACTTGGTTTTATGGGGATGGTTAGAGTTGAAATGAATGTACTGGTCGGAATTGATGGGTTTTCTGTAGACCGTGGTTTGGATTTTGTTGCAGGGGTCTCTGGAAACAAGGACATCTAAGAAGGGGAGTTTGTTGTCGTTCACTGTCTCCATGGTGAACTTGATCCTGGAATGTTGGGTGTTGAGGTGCTGGAGTAGTGAGGTGGGATCTTGGTCTTTTCTGAGGACGACAAGGGTGTCATCCACCTTCCTATACCAGCACACAGGTTGGATCGGGGAGGAGGACAGGGCTTTTTCTTCAAAATGGGTCATGTAGTGAGTAAATTAATATTTAACGTCACATCGGCAATATTTCAGCCATATCGTGACGTGAACATTTTACATTGAAATGGAATAGATGTAGATTATACAACCTGCTTACGTAGGACAGTAAAACTTTAGAATATCACAGATATACATGTAAAACTAGTAAGTAAAACTAAAATATTTTAACTATAGGGGACAACACAATATAAAAATAGGCTATAGATCGCCAACAACTGAAGGTAGATCACCATACTAGAGACCATGGGGACTTACAGTACATTTGCTTCCTGCATGGACCCTAGCTGGATTTACACCATCCCTTCAGCTATTAGCAATTTTTGAAAATCTAGCCACAAATTAAACGAACATGTATTCTACGATTAAAATGGTAGTAGGTTTAAATCCACTTCGAATGTATTGGGACTTACGTACCCTCTCAGGAGGACAATAATGTTACAGTACTTTAACCCCCTTTGAGGGAAATGGGTCATGTAGATTTCAGTAGATAAGGTATAGGAAGGTGGACTTCTCAAGCACCATGCAGGTATCGACACCATCTTCTCTGGCTCTCCAACCCTCAGGACCATTCTCCAGGCCAATGGCCGTAATCCACCCTCCACTAAGCAACCCCCCAAAGGAGTGATTTAGAAGATTAACTGTAAATGTCGTGATTCTTATATAGGTGAAACCCTCCCGTCCCGTTGACGCCCGTATAAAAGAACACAAAACCTCTACAGCTAAGGCAGCCCTCTGTCAAGCTAAGGCAGTCACCGATTTTCAGTATTCTGTGTGTCCGCCTTGAGTCCTGATGAGAGCCCGCACTCTGCTGCGCATAGACTTTCTCTGTGGAATAACTTGCCACCGTTGTTGGAGAGGTGCTGTCAGTTCTGCAATGGTCTGGATTGGGTTTGGAAGGGCTCGAACTCTGCGACCGAGCTCATCCCACATATGCTCGATGGGGTTCATGTCCGGAGATCGAGGTGGTCAGTTCATCACAGTGACCTGGTTTTTGTTTAGGAAGGCCTGCGTGACCTTACTGTATGGGGGCGGCGTTGTCGTGTTGAAAGATGAGCTGACCATGTCCATTTCCCACCGCCATCAGCGGGAGCAACGTTGGCCGAAGAACGTTGTCATTGTACCCCTGGGCAGTCAGGTTTCAACGGATTACAAGCAAGGGTGATCTGAAGTCTACATGTACGTTCCCCCACCCCGTGACGCTACTGACACCAAATCGGTCCACTTCAGCAATGCAGGTCGGCGCCAGTCTTTCGCCTTGACGTCGATAGATTCGACGTCTTCCATCGTTGAAGCTTAAGTTGAATCTTGATTCGTCTGAGTTACCTTTATACCTGGCGATTGGGTGCCTCACACTGAGAATGAGGGTTCGAAAGATGTAATAATGAACAATAATAAATAACATGGACATTCATAATGTGCCCTTTTCCACTTGTGTATGCTCCAGGCGCTACCAGGAAATCAAAAGAAAAAAATACAAATTATGCATGGCGGGTTTGAAGAGTTAGTAATAAGTGTTCTTGATAGGATAGGTTTTCAAGCGAGATTTGAAACTTGTGAGAGAATCATAAAGTTTAATGTTGAAAGGTAGAGAATTCCACAGACATGTAGCTACATGTCACAATGATCGCTTGCCGAATGGAGCTAAGCGGATCTTGGGGACTGTTCTGGGATGATCAAAGAGTTCTGGATGGGGTGAATAGTGAGATGAGATCAGTGAGATAAGTTGGCGCAAGATTGTGTAGACAAAGCAGAGCAGTTTAAAGTCAATACGAGATGCAACAGGAAACCAATGTTGGGATTTCAGAAAATGAGTTATCGACTTGCTTTTTAAATAAACGATGCTAGCAGGTGTATTCTGAACTTCTTGCGTTTTGTAAAGACCTACAAAACATCTGATCACATTCTGTAGTAATGTACTTTTGATTGTTTCCAATCTTGCGCAGATGAAATTAAAGTTGTCTTACGAATCCAGGCACCTAGAACTCTCACAAGCGAAGAAAACATTGCTTCGGAAGACCCAGTATTGACCTTTCTGTCTACGTCCCTTGCAAGTGCTGCTGCTGAGTGCGGAGTTAGACGACAAATATTATTGCAAATTTCGTGATGACTTTCTCCGAGACTTACAGCACACTCTTTCTATGGTTCAAATAAAAAAATCATTAAATGCAAATGAAAAATTGCATGTCAAACGAAATTTTGCCTCTGAGTACATTTCCTTTCGCGACCACCCTGTATCATCACTGAAAATAAAAAAATGCTCGCTGATGATATAATCGAAATTATATAAATCAAGAGATTACTCCTGAGTGTGGAAATAGCAATGTTGTCGCTTATATTTTGTACTGACATTGGTGTACAATTGCTCGACTTCTCTCCCACTATACTCGACTTCCATTACTGTTGAATGTATATCAGCATGAAACATAGCTGATTCTAATTAAATATATTCACTATGAGTGAGTATGAGATATGTATGACGCGGTCACTTAGAATAACAGTTCATCTAATAACATCTGACATTACTATCAGTAACAAGCAATCCTTTTTGTTCTTCATCACAGAAAAAATACGTCATTTCTTTCGATATCATTTAAACAATATACAGAACTGATATTTGTGTATTGCTGATCAAAGCTCAGCTTCTAAATAACATTAGCATAACATTAAACTGACAAATCAATACGTGCGTAGACTAACTTAACGGTTAGCATATTATATGAGTGTAACTATACGGGAGGGATCTAAATCTAGAACGGGACTGACTCAGTGGTCGTCATGACAATGATAGGCAGTGTTGGTTCAGTCCCCGAACGCGACATTAGGAAAGACACGACATTAGGATGAGTGGGTGAGTATGGTTTTACGCCGCTTTTAGCAATATTCCAGCAATATCACTGAAGCCCATCCCCGCTGTCATATTGCTGGATAATTGCTAAAAGCGGCGTAATACCAAACTCACTCACTCAGTCATGTCATGAAGAAGAACTAACGGGATCGGGTGGTCAGGCTCGCTGACTTGGTTGACACATGTCATCGTATCCCAATTACGCAGATCGATGCTCATGCTGTTGATCACCGGATTGTCTAGTCCAGACTCGATTATTTACAGACCGCCGCCATATAGCTGGAGCAGCGCTTACGACAAGCATGGGTTACTGAAGATCAATTCTAACCCGGACCTTCACGGGTTTTGGTGCAAAAGTAATATACGGATTTTGTTTTACATATCAGAACGTTATATTTAAAGTTATTTAAGTGACTTTCTTATATT